AGAGAGACTTTTATTTTGTCGAGCGGTGAGGCCAATGGCCATCAAGTGATACCTCAACGCAAACGCTACGCAACACGTGTACACGTGTTGTGCAGAGCGACGACCAGCTTATAAACAACTAGAACTATTCACACATGTTATGTTTTAATTTATATAACTGAATTAACATAACTTATAACCGACACAAAAGCCATGAGATTAACGTCCATATCGGTTTTACAAATTAAAACAAACGAAATAAACAACAATAATATGAAAATTAAATATATTTTATTTTTTAAATAATTTTATCATCACTACAATAGTCATTATAATTATCATTTTTCTTTAATTCATCAAAAGATTTAGTGTAGATCGTTAAATTGTTATAAAATATTAAATTTATATTACGTTATTTAATATATACTAAAAATAGCACCACTAATCTGATCTAGTGCCACTTTTGTATAGTGAGGTTATTAAATATGAATCTGTCTATAAATCGCTATATTTATACAGTGTTGACTATTTATTATTACATTTAAACATGAGGATTTTTGAATATAACTAAACGATGTAATATATTTTTATTATCTAAATACTAGAGAAAAGTCATAAAAAATAATTGTGTCCCACATTCAGATTCTAACAAAAAATCTGATAGTTTTTACAATTAATAAAAATTTTTACGCCCTTTAAGTATAATTTCGTAGGGCTTTGGGGCACAGAATAAGATAACATTGGGTTCGGGCTCTAAGTGTGCGGACCCGTCGCCCGCTTGTAATGCAAACACACACTCATTGGTCGACTGCAAGAGACGCACAGTTATGAGGAAGAGGTCCGCGAGCGCCAGCTTTTCGCCCAAACAGACCCGACGGCCGATACCGAAGGGCGCAAAGCCCGGCATTTTGGCCCGGAATGAGCCATCTCTGGTCACAAACCTTTTTGGATCAAACACTTCAGGGTTTTGCCACACGTTTGGGTCCATATGTATGGCCCATAAGTTACTGATAACCAATGTGTTCTTTTCAATGCGATATTTATCTACAAAATTGAATTTATGTTAATTTTACATTTTTGTATTTTATAGTTGTATTACACGGCATACCAATAGTGGTGTCAGTCATGGCTCTATGGGTGACAGCAATG